TCAAGACAAATAGAGTTAGATTTGGCAGAACTTTGATTATCTCGATAAGATCTCCATTAGTTATCGTGAAAACCCTTCGTAGGATATCAATGGAAAGGTTTTTACAATTAGGGAACTTGACCATAATACTTTTAATTAGATTTAATGATTCGACGGGTGAGCCTTGATACTGAATGATAAATAGAATTAAAATTAGAATTACGAAAATAAATAAAGCTGAAAAACTTACTTTGTGTATTTTTAGAACTACATCTTGGACATTCTGATGAGTATGCGAATCAGGAAATCCTTCATCTTTACCCTTGACTTCACGAATATACAAACGGATAGTTCGTAAGTGAGGAAAAAAAGGCAGGAACTGGAAGACTGACGAACTTGATCTTATGTCTAGAAATCGAATCTCTTTAGTTTCATCTTTGGTAAAGGCCAAAGACGAGGTTCAACTGAAGGCGAAAAGAAAACGATTAGAATACATGATCAATCACTTTTCTAATATAATTACTTATTGGTTCATTCAGACTCAGAACTTCAAGATTCGGCATTTGCTCCAAGTAGCGACATAGTAAATTTATTTCTTCAAAGTTGTAATCATAATCTTCATCTTTTTCAATAATGTCGTACTCTGTGATATAACCTTCAAAGTATTTCAAACTTTGCCCGAATTTATATTTAAAGAAATAACTTTCAAGAAAAGGTTCATCCAATATTTCCATATACTTGAGGTTGCCACAGTGTTTAACGATCTCGTCGACATTGACTTGACATTTAGAGTGTATTTCATCGCTGGAACAACATTGAGTTTCACACATAAGTCCAACTAGCGGGTTCGCTGTTGTTGACAAAATATTGACCACCATTTTACCAGTACATTCGCCATACAGATTAGGATTCAAGGATAAAAACTGAAAAAGTTTAAATTGATTAGTCATTTTGTTTCTTATCCTTTAGTAATGATCTCACCTTGAGGTTCGGTAAAAACTGAGAGACATTAACTCTCTCCATTAATTCAACATCATCCGTGTAGATGTGATTGTCCGATGAAAAAGGGACATATGATAAATAATGTTCTCTCTCGACTTAATTAGAAAAATGATGAACAAGAAAAAAGAATTAATCTAACCTTTCCAATGATCGAAATGAACTTGACTTACCATGTAAATGTCGAATTTTTTTCAGTCGCCGTTTCACCAAAATGTTCCATTGTTTACAAACTGACCAATCAAGTAAAACGATGAAAACATGATTTCTCTCATCTGTCATCTCATTTCTCAATAGAAAATGCACAAAAATTTTCTTACCTGTTGACAGATCCAAAAGCTGTTTGAGATTCGAAAAACAATCAAATATACACGATAAACAATCGTAGGGTAAATCAATTAGTTCCATTTTAACAAATTCAACTTATTCTAGAAAATGAATGAAAATACTAAAAGAAGAACAAATTTTCATAAACTGGATTAAATTGACTCTTATAATAAGAGTATCTTTAATCAACGTGAGATTTAAAACTGAGTCGATTGGCTGTCACCAGATGGCGAAAGTTTCTAATTTTCCGACGACAATTCAATTTTTTTTATTGTGTAAAATTGGTTAATTTTAAAGTTTCTCACTTCCCGGTTCATCTGTTTGATTGACTTGTTGCTACATTTACAATTACTTTATTATTATCAACTTGCCATGTAAATGTCGAATTTTGTTCGTCTTCGTTTCACCAAAATGTTCCATTGTTTACAAACTGACCAATCAAGTAAAACGATGAAAACATGATTTCTCTCATCTGTCATCTCATTTCTCAATAGAAAATGCACAAAAATTTTCTTACCTGTTGACAGATCCAAAAGCTGTTTGAGATTCGAAAAACAATCAAATATACACGATAAACAATCGTAGGGTAAATCAATTAGTTCCATTTTAACAAATTCAACTTATTCTAGAAAATGAATGAAAATACTAAAAGAAGAACAAATTTTCATAAACTGGATTAAATTGACTCTTATAATAAGAGTATCTTTAATCAACGTGAGATTTAAAACTGAGTCGATTGACTGTCACCAGATGGCGAAAGTTTCTAATTTTCCGACGACAATTCAATTTTTTTTATTGTGTAAAATTGGTTAATTTTACAGTTTCTCACTTCCCGGTTCATCTGTTTGATTGACTTGTTGCTAAATTTACAATTACTTTATTATTATCAACTTGCCATGTAAATGTCGAATTTTGTTCGTCTTCGTTTCACCAAAATGTTCCATTGTTTACAAACTGATCAATTATAAAATATGGATTTTAGCTCATTTTATGAAGTTCATATTACGGATCAATCGAAAAGATTCCAACAAATAACGAAACACTTAAGTTCCGTTTTTTAGCTAAAATCATTTGCTTATATTTTTTTTGATTCTCCTGAACAAAAGGATATTTTAATTAATCACTTTTCTCAAAAACTAAAAAAGTTTTTACTCTTTGAACTAATGATTTGAGCCATTTACTGATACAATTAATTGCAAAATCATTTGAAGATTACATGGCGGCTCTTTCATATGCAGAACTTCCAGATTTGGCATTTGATGCAAGTAATAACATATTAGATACATTTCTTTGAATATGAAATTATAATCTCTATCTTCCTCATATTCGCTACCTTCAATCGAACCTTCGAAATATTTCAAATTTCGGCCGAATTTGTATTTTAAGAAATAACTACGAAGAAAAGGTCGATACAATGTAACCAGGTACTGAGGCTCCCACATGTTTAATCTCATCGACATCAACGTGGCAGCGAGAGCCAAGATGCTCTGGACTTGAGAAAAGACATGGCGCTTCACAAATGAGTCCAATCAACGGTTTTGAAGTTGACAAAACATTGACCAACATTTTGCAGGTACACATTTTTTCGAGATTATAACATTTGGAGAAAAACTTGAGATTGGGGAACATTTTCGAGACATTTACTCTCTCCATCAATTCGACATCGTTCGTATAAAGATGATTGGGAGATGCTGCAAGGTCAGAATCGATATCTTGCTGTGCTGTGGCCACGTTTAAGGAGAATTGAAAAGATGGCAGAGTTAATATAATCTTTTTGTAATTCACAATGAAATTATCTTATTATTATTAACTTACCATGTAAATGTCGAATTTTGTTCAGTCTTTGTTTCGCCAAAATGTTCCATTGTTTACAAACTGATCAATGATGAAAATATGAATTTTATTTTATTTCAAGTCAAAAAACCACAAAAATTGTCTTACCTGTTGACAGATCCAAAAGTAGTTTAAGATCAGGAATACAATTAAATATACACGATAAACAATCGTAAAGTAAATCAGTCAATTCCATTGTATCAAATGTAATTATTTGTAGAAAAGTTTCTAGTTTTCTAACAATAGTTAAAATGTCTATCCTGATAAGTTCAACTGGAGTTTTATAAAAGAAACGCAAAATGCCCCTAGGCTAATTCGCCCCCAACACGCCGACCAATTTCTTATTTTTAACTTTCAGAGTTAATCCTTGTCGATTAATCGATAAAAGAATAAATCAACATTTACTATTCCATTTTCAGAACAGCAATTCAATTAAAAGGCAACCAAAGATTCACAATTAAAAATTGTCTTCTCATAAAAACAACTTTATTTTGGCAATAAAATCCAACGAATGAAAACATTTACAGTATCTTTTGATGTGCATAAAAAAAGTCGAAGTGAGCAATAATTCTGCTTAATTAATACGAAACTTCGAAGATCTGTTTTTCAGTCAAAATCGTTTGCTGATATTTTTTGATTCTTTTGAACTAATAATTAAATAATAATATTTTTATTTATCAAAGATTAAAAGGTTTTTACTGTTCAAATAAATGATTTGAAACATTTATTTATTAAAGTAACTAGTAAACAAAACACTTGAAAATTAGAAACCGAATCGTCTTGACGATCTAAAGTTAATAGCAACAACAGCAGAGAGCGAAAGAAATGACTGGATCGCGCTTTGAAAAGTATACAAAGCTAATACATGTATAAAGATTGAAAACGCTACTAGTTTATTATTGAGACTCAGGATAATTTTCACTGTTCATTTAATAAGAAAAACCGAATGTTGATCAAATCCTCATTAGTTATCGGAAACCTCTCCATGAACTGAATGTACACGTTTGTACAGTTAGAGAACTTGATCATAATACTTTTAATTAGATTCAAGGGTCTGAAAAATAATTTCTGGTCTCTGATGCTGGATGAGCAACAGAATTTGGATTTTAGGTTATGTTGAGTAAAAAAGTTGAAGTGATTAAAAATTCGAGCTTAACTAATACGAATTTCAATAAACGTGATTTTGTAAGAATTCATTATCAATCTTTAAAGGACTTGCAACATCTTCGTTCAATGCAAAGCGAGTATATGAGCGAACCCTGGTTCCATCATTTGCTCGCTCATCGCCACGCAAGATGAAATTTATTCTTCGATCTGTTGATTTGCAGAATTGATCGAGTGTCCCAATAGTATTTGCATCACCACGATTCTCCCTATTCAAGACAATGAGAGTTAAATTGGGCAAAATTTTTATCATCTCGATAAGATGTTCTTTAGTTAGCAACAATTTTCGCATCAAATTAATGTACAGGTTTGTACAATTAGGGAACTTGACCAAAATATTTGGAATATGCTTGAAACATCCGTTAGTTGGCCCTTTGTGCTGAATAATAAATGCAATCAAAATCAAAATCAAAATAACCAAAATATTAATAAATAAAGCTGAAAAACTTACTTTGTGTATTTTTAGAACTACATCTTGGACATTCTGATGAGTATGCGAACCAGGAAATCCTTCATCTTTACCCTTGACTTCAAGAATATCCAAATGTATACTTCGTAAATCAGGGAACAAAGGCAAAAATTGGAAGACGGACGATCTCAATGACATGTCTTCGAATCGAATCTCTTTCCGTTTCATTTTTGGTAAAGGCCAAAGACGAGGTTTAACTGAGGGCGAAAAAAACGATTAGTATAAATGATCAATAATTTATTTGATATAATTTACTTAATGGGGTTTCCAGATTCAGAACTTCAAGATTTGGCATTTGCTCCAAGTAGCGACATGATAAATTTATTTCTTCCTCCATGGAATCATAATCTTCATCTTCATTGTAGGACCGTAAGACATAACCGTCAAAGTGTTTCAAATTTTGTCCGAATTTATGTTTAAAGAAATAACTGTCTCGAAAAAGTTCATCCAATATATCCATATACTCGAGACTGCCACAGTGTTTAACAATCTCATCGATATCGACATGACCAGATTGTAGGGAATCATTGCTCGTACAGCATTGATCTACACACATGAGTCCAACCAGCGGTTTCGCTGTTGATGACAAAATATTGACCATCATTTTACCAGTACATTTTTGACCCAGATAACGACTCAAGGATAAAAACTGGAAAAGTTAAAATTGGAATTAGATTAATGAGTAATTTTGTCTCTTATCCTTAAGTAATGATCTCACCTTGAGGTTCGGTAAAAACTGAGAGACATTTACTCTCTCCATTAATCCAACATCATCCGTGTAGATGTGATTGTCAGATGAAAAAGGGACATATGATAAATAGGATTCACTAATGACTTGATGAGAAATGATGCAAAAGAAAAACAGAATAAATTTAACCTTTCCAATGATCGAAATGAACTTGTCTTACCATGTAAATGTCGAATTTTTTTCAATCGCTGTTTCACCAAAATGTTCCATTGTTTACAAACTGACCAATCAAGTAAAACGATGAAGATGAAAACAAGATTTTATACCATTTCTAAATAGAAAAAGCAGCAAAATTTCTCACCTGTTGACAAATCCAAAAGTTGTTTAAGATTCGAAAAACAATCAAATATACACGATAAACAATCGTAGGGTAAATCAGTCAATTCCATTTTTACAAATTTAATTATTAATATTTCTATGAAAGTAAATGAAAGTATGAACACAAATTGATTGTACTTCAAAAGAGCCAAAAGGTTTGAGCAAAATTCAAAAGAGCAAAGGATTAAAATAGCAAATCAATTTCAAGCAACTTATAATAATCCTTTTAATTTTCAGAATATGTTAAGACAATTAACTTGTTTGTCTCTTAAACATTGATTGTATTGAATTGAATTGATTTAGGTTGAATCAATTGTTTTGGTTCGTTTTTCATTGATTTGATTTAAATTGATTTTCAATTAATTCATAATGATGATGATAATTTAATAATTTATTTAGGGTTTATTCCCAATTGATAAATGTGATAATTTCATCGATTTGGTTTATTTTTTTCTTTATTTGGATTTCAATTCAATTATTACTTATCAGATGTAGTTTATTTAGTGATAAATATGGAACTACTATTACATTAGTTGGCATTAGTTATTATTTGTGATTACAAATTTGATTTGTCTCTCTCTCTTCTTCTCTCTCTCTCTCTCTCTCTCTCTCTCTCTCTCTCTCTCTTCCCATAGACCAATGTGTTTCTATTATGTTTCAGTGTTGCCAATTTAAATTCCTATCAAAATATTACAACTAAATGGTTTCCAGAAATCAGGGAACATGCACCGAAAGTCCCGTTCGTTTTGGTTGGAACCAAAAGTGATCTCAGACCTGATGATAAATCCTCATCTCCTTGGTATCGATCAAAGTGCATCGACTTGACATCTCAATCAAATGGATCTGAGGAAACTTTTATTACCACGGACATGGGTCGTAAAGGACACTCTGCAAAAAATTAGACTTTTTAGTTAAGAGTTGAGACTTTGTGTATTTGTAGGGCCAAAAATATAAAGTCTAAATATGTTTATCTTTTTCTGGTCTGATCAGTAGTTTTCGAGAAAATCAAGTTCGAAGTTTAAACTTCAGGTCCCTTTTTCTCAGAAACGATAAATTTTTAGATCATGAAATTTTTATTTTACCGACAACTTTTCATGCCCTTACAGAAAATTAGATTTGTTTTGGTGAAAAAAATGTCCAAAGTGCTCCGGTCATAATTCCGTTGTATTTAAATAAATGGACCGCGATTAGTCTCTAGTGTCGAGAATGATCTGAAACTTATTTCTGAGACTACCCTAATATGGGTTAACATTGTGGATCGAGCACTTTTTCCATTTGATCAACAGTTTTACCGGAATGAGAGAGTGGCCTTTGATCTTCGAGAACTAATATCTCCGTAAGTACAATACTTAGAAATGTCTGAATAAGTCTAATCATCGTCATTTAACCAAAACTATAAGAATCGATCGTTTTCTGGTCATGCAGATCGGCCAATTTTGTTATAAATAGTTCGAGAATGTTTAATAAAATAATATTTCATTCGAACAAAAGTTAAAATATTTGGGTGTTTTTAGTATAACTTTGAATCAGCTATAATCTCAGCTAGAACACACAATTTTTCGAGGTAAAAACAATTCAGACATTTCTAAGTATTGTACTTACGGAGATATTAGTTCTCGAAGATCAAAGGCCACTCTCATTCCGGTAAAACTGTTGATCAAATGGAAAGTGCTCGATCCACAATATTGGGTAGTCAAGTAAGTTCAGATCATTCTCGACACAGAGACAAGACAATCATTTATCCAATACAACGGATTATGACCAGGACATTTCACCAAAACATTTTTCTGTGTCTGAAAATGTCAAAATAAATGGTTGTCGATAAAAATTTATCGTTTCTGAGAAAAGGGACCTGAAGTTTAAACTTCGAACTTCTCGAAAACTACTGATCAGACCAGAAAGATAAACATATTTAGACTTTATATTTTTGGCCCTACAAATACACAAAGTCTCAACTCTTAACTAAAAAGTCTAATTTTTTGCAGAGTGTCCTTAGCTCGTAAACTGAATGCTTCCTGTTACGTTGAATGTTCAGCTAAAAGTCTTGTTGGAATAGAAAATGTAATTTATTTTATTATTTATTCATATGTACAATTTGATCTCAATTGACATTTTTTATCATCCAATCTCCAGGTAATTATGGAAGCTATCAAAGCTGGAATTGGTGACGAGGACAAGAAACAACGATGCATAATTATCTAAATTTACATGACGATTTATAATTACCGATCAATCGAAAGGATTCCAGAAAATACAACGAAACTTTGAAGCTCAGTTTTTCAGCTGAAATCATTTGCTGATATTTTTTTGATTCTCTTGAACAAAAAGATATTTTCATTAATCACTTTTATCGTTTATTCAAATATCATATCAATCAACATCTATTATCTTCATGAATCAATTTTTCAATTTTATCAAAGATTAAAAAACTCTTTGACTTGAATGGATTTATTAATGGATTATTTTCCTAAACAAATAAGATTTATCTTAATTGTCCAGACAATTATGTATATCGGAAACCATTTTTATCTTTTACATTTTGTATTGTATCACTAAATGATTTTTAAAGAACTAACTTCATCTTTATGAGGAGAAAGGCTTTGGAAGATAACTTTGAATTAATCATTTGAGACATTTATTGGTTCAATTAACTAGTGAATAGACACTTTAAAGTTTAAAAACTAAAGTGCAGAATTTTCGCTTGTCGTTACATGTAATAAGAAAAACCGAATATTGAACAATCAATTGATTGAAGAAAAATTGAATTCTTTTCATTAACAACGAAAAAAGCTCCGAATGAATTTGTTTTCGGTCTTCAAATGATTCGCAACATCTTCGTTCAATGTATATCGTGTATATGATCCAATCCAGGTCGTGCGATTCCATATTCGATCATCGCGAAACAAGTAAAAGGATATTCGACGACCTGACGATTGACAGAATTTATCGATTATCTCAATAGTATTTGCATCTCCCCAATTCTTTATATTCAAGACTAATAGAGTTAAATTGGGCAACATTTTGATTATCTCGATCAAATCCTCATTAGTTATTAAAATATTTCTCAGGAGATAAATGCACAGGTTTGTACAATTAGGAAACTTGACCATAATACTTTTAATCAGCTTAAACGATCCGACAGGCAAGTTTTGATGCTGAATGATAAATAAGAATTCGCAATTAAGGTTAATTCATAAAATACCACAGAAAACTTACTATTCCTTCAATATTAAACGCACAATCTTGGATATTCGGTAAGTATTAGAAACTTCGAAAATTTCATCTTCACCTCTCACTGGTCGAATGCTAAAAGAAACACATCGCAAATTTGGAAAACGAGATAAGAACTGGAAGGCCAATGTTTTTGTCGATATATTTTCAAAATAGATCTGTTTCAGGTTCATGTTTTTCGGTAAAGGCCAAAGACGAGGTTCAACTAAGTAAGAAAAAAGTCATTAGTATACCAAATGATTTCAGATAGTAACAAATAAATTAATGTAATTACTTGGTGGCTCTCTCAGACGCAGAACTTCAAGATTTGGCATTTGTTTCAAGTAGTAACACAGTAGATAGATTTCTTTGAGCATGAAATCATAATCTTTATCTTCCTCATCGTCGTCGTATCCTTCAATTGAACCTTCAAAATATTTCACATTCTGACCAAATTTCAAGAAATAACTGCCAAGAAAAGGTCGATACAATGAATCAAGATATTCGAGGCTACCACAGTGCTTAACAATATCGTCGATGTCGACGTGACAGCAAAAGTCTATAGTCATAGGACCCGCGGAAAGACACGGAGCTTCACAAATGAGTACAGTCAAAGGTTTCGAAGTTGACAATACATTGACCAACATTTTACAGGTACACGTGGTTTCGAGCGAACCATCTTTCGTGAAAAACTGCGAGTTCGGTGGAAAAATTGATTAGAAAAGATTTTTTCTTCTTGATAAATGGCTTCACTTTGAGATTTGGAAACATTTGAGCGACATTTACTCTCTCCATCAATCCAACATCGTTCGTGTAAAGATGATTGGGAGATGCTGCAAGGTCAGATTCGAGATAAATTCATAAGACAGTGAGTCCGACCAGTGGATTCGCCGTTGACAAAACATTGACCATCATTTTACAAGTGCATGTTTCATACAGCTCCTGACTTAGGGTTAAAAACTGGAAAAGTTTAAATTGGAAATACATGTAAATTGATGAAACTGAGAGACATTTACTCTCTCCATTAATCCAACATCATCCGTAACCATATGATTATAAGATGAGAAATAGGTAAATGGTAAATTGGATTCATTCGCGACTTAATTAATTAGAAGAATGATTCAAAAGAGTAACAGAATTAAATATCCTTTCCAATGATCGAAATGCGTTTGACTTACCATGTAAATGTCGAATTTTTTTCAGTCGCCGTTTCACCAAAATGTTTCATTGTTTACAAACTGACCAATCAAGTTGAAAACGATGAAAACAAGAATTTAATCTCATTTCTAAATAAAAAAAGCAAAAAAGTTCTCTTACCTGTTGACAGATTCAAAAGCTGTTCAAGATTCGAAAAAAAAATCAAATTTATACGATAAACAATTATATGGTAATTTACCCAATTCCATTGTAACAAATGTAACTATTTCTAGAAAACAAATGAAATATTGAAGTCTTCAATGCGAAGAGAATATTTTAATCACCAATTAAGTTTCTGTTTAATTGTAATTGATTTAACTTGTTTTCGTTTCTTAGGTTTATTTCATCCAGTTAATCAACAATCTGCAGAAATTGGATGAAACTGCGGTCAGATTATCTCGAATAATCAATCTTATTCAACTTATCGATAAGAGATTGAATAAGACTTTTCCTTTTCTAGATGCAAAATTGAATCAATAGATGAACAATAAAGCACAATTATCTAAATTCACTTTACGATTTATAATTACCGACCAATCGAAAGGATACCAGAAATAACGAAGCTTCGAAGCTCAGTTTTCAGCTAAAATCATTCGGAGATATTTTTTTATTCTCTTGAATTGATGATTAAATAATATTCTTATTTATCAAAGATTAAAAAAGTTTTTATTGCTCAAATAAATGATTTGAAACATTTACATGTATTGATTCAAGTAACTAGTAAACAAAACACTTGACAATTAGAAACCGAATCGTCTTGACAATCTAAAGTTAATAGCAACAGCAGGAGAGAGCGAGAGATGACTGGATCGCGCTTTGAAAAGTTTAAAAAGCTAATATCAAGATCGAAAACGATACAAGATTATTGGGCCTCAAGATAATTTTCACTGTTCGTTACATTCAATGAGAAAAACCCAATGTTGAACAATCAATTGATTTAAGATAAATTCAATTCATTTTTTTCGCAACAAAAAAAGTTCCGAATGAATTTGTTGCCGGTCTTCAAATGATTCGCAACATCTTCGTTCAATGCGTATCGTGTATATAAACCAGTTCTAAGTGTGCAATTTCCATGTGCGAAGCAAGTAAAAGGATATTCAACGACCTGTTGATTGACAGAATTTATCAATTGTATCATTGTTGTACATTTAGTATTTGCATCCCCCACGTTTTAAATATCCAAGATAAAAAAGAGTTAAATTCGGCAGAATTTTGATCAAATCCTCATTAGTTATCGAAAACCTTTCCATGAACTGAATGCAAACGTTTGTACAATTAAGGAACTTGATCATAATACTTTTAATTAGATTCAAGGGTCTGAAAGGTAATTTCTGGTCTCTGTAGCTGGATGAGTAACAAAATTTGAATTTAAGGTTATACTGAGTAAAAAAGTTGAAGTGATTAGAAATTCGAGCTTAATTAATACGAATTTCAATAAACGTACTTTTGTAAGAATTCATTATCGATCTTTAAAGGACTCGCAACATCTTCGTTCAATGCAAAGCAAGTATAAGAGCGAGTCCGTCTTGGATCACTTCGGCCATCGCCATACAAGATAAAATTTATTCTTCGACCGACTGATTTACAGAACTTATCGAGTGTCTCAATAGTATTTGCATCTCCACAATTCTTCCTATTCAAGACAATAAGAGTTAAATTCGGCAAAATTTTGATTATCTCGATAAGATCTTCTTTAGTTATCGTCCGTACGAAATCGCTGTACAGGTTTGTACAATTAGGGAACTTGACCAAAATACTTTTAATTGGATTCAGTAATCCGGCGGGTGAGTCTTGATGCTGAATGATAAATGTAATTAAAATTAGAATAATAAAAATAAATAAAGATGAAAAACTTACATCGTTTATGTCCAAAACTACATCTTGAACATTCAGATGCGTATACGAATCAGAAAAACCTTTATCCTTGACTTAACGAATATCCAAACGGATAGTTTGTAAATCAGGGAACAAAGGTAAGAACTGGAAGACTGGCGATCTCAATGACATGTCTTCGAATCGAATCTCTTTCAGTTTCATTTTTGGTAAAGGCCAAAGACGAGGTTCAACTGATGGCGAAAAAAACGATTAGTATAGATGATCAATAACTTATTTGATATTAATATATTTACTTAGTGGTTTTCCCAGATTCAGAACTTCAAGATTTGGCATTTGCTTCAAGTAGCGACATAGTAAACTTATTTCTTCCTCCATGGAATCATAATCCACATCTTCATCTTCATCTTCATCTTCCTCATCATCGATGCACCATATGATATGACCGTCAAAGTGTTTCAAATTTTGTCCGAATTTATATTTAAAGAAATAACTTTCAAGAAAATCTTCATCCAATATATTCATATACTCGAGACTGCCACAGTGTTTAACAATCTCATCGACATGGACTTGACCAGAGTGTTGGACTATATTGCTGGAACAACATTGAGTTTCACACATAAATCCAACCAGGGGGTTCGCTGTTGATGACAAAATATTGACCATCATTTTACCAGTACATTTGTCACCATGAATAGGACTCAGGGATAAAAACTGGAAAAGTTTAAATTGGAAATAAATTGATAAGTCATTTTGTCTCTTATCCCTAAGCAATGATCTCACCTTGAGGTTCGGTAAAAACTGAGAGACATTAACTCTCTCCATTAATCCAACATCATCCGTGTAGATGTGATTGTCAGATGAAAAACGGACACAAGATAAAAAGGCTTCACTAGCGACTTGATAAGAAAAATGATGAACAAGAAAAAAAGAATTAATCTAACCTTTCCAATGATCGAAATGAACTTGACTTACCATGTAAATGTCGAATTTTTTTCAATCTCTGTTTCACCAAAAAGTTCCATTGTTTACAAACTGACCAATCAAGTAAAACGATGAAGATGAAAACAAGATTTTAATCCCATTTCTAAATAGAAAAAGCAACAAAATAATACGAAATAATAATACGAAAAGGGAAAATGAGCCTTACCAAAGGCTTGAAAAAAAAATATATTGATGGCTATAATGAAGTCGTAATAGACAATGTGGAAAGAAAAAATTAATGATTTATTTTTAATTAGATGAATGAAAAGATCAAATTGTTAATAATTATTAATTGTTAATAAGGTTATAATAATAAGAATTATTATAAGCGGTAGTGTGAACCGCAAACGGTTAATTTGAATTAACTGGGCTCAATATGAGACACTGTTGAACAGAATCTGTTAAATAAAGTTACTGTTGTTACATTTTAATCATCACCAATTTAGTTTCTGTTCAATTGCTATTGATTTAACTTTTTTCGTTTCTTTGGTTAATCTGATCCAGTTAAACAAAAGTCTGTGGAACATGGATAAAGAAACTGCGGTCAGATTATCTTTTTGTAAATCGCAATGAAATTACTTTATTATTATCAACTTACCATGTAAATGTCGAATTTTATTCAGTCTTCATTTCGCAAAAATGTTCCATTGTTTACAAACTGATCAATTATAAAATATGAGTTTTAGCTCATTTTGAAGTATTCGTATGAAGTTCATATTACGGATCAATCGAAAAAATCCCAGCAAATAACGAAACATTTAAGTTCAGTTTTTTAGCTAAAATCATTTGCTTATATTTTTTTGATTCTCTTGAACAAAAGGATATTTTCATTAATCACTTTTATCAAAAACTAAAAAAGTTAATAGCAACCGAGAGAGAGGAAGAGACTTAGAATTTAGAATTAAATAAAATTCATAAGATACTACAGAATAGTTACTATTCCAATGTGTAGAGCGCAATCTTGAGTATTCGAATAAGCATTGGAATTTTCGTGAACATCATCTTTCATCATCGGAACTTTTTCGATACATTTACTCTCTCCATCAATTCGACATCGTTCGTAAATAGATCAACATTTGCTATTACATTTTCAGAATTAAAGAAACAAAAGCAATTCAATCATTAATAAAAAGCAACCAAAGATTCACAATTAAAAATTGTCTTCTCATGAAAACAACTTTATTTTGGCAATAAAATCCAACGAATAGAAAACATTTACAGTATCTTTTGATGTGCATAAAAAAGTCGAAGTGAGCAATAATTTGAGCTTAATTAATACGAATTTCAATAAACGTGGCACTTTTGTAAGAATTCATAATCGATCTTTAAAGGACTCGCAACATCTTCGTTCAATATGTAACGTGTATATGAGCGAGCACCCATTGTTTCGTGATGTGCAGTGCCACACAAGATAAAATTTATTCTTCGACCGACTGATTTACAAAATTTATCGAGTGTCTCAATGATATTCGCATCTTCCCAATTCTCTACATCCAAGACAAATAGAGTTAGATTTGGCAAAATTTTGATTATCTCGATAAGATCTCCATTAGTTATCGTAATAACCCTTCGTAGGAGAAAAATGCACAGGTTTGTACAATTAGGTAACTTTGCCATGACAGTTTTAACTAAATTCAATGATTCGACGTGTGAGCTCTGAGGCTGAATGACAAATAGAATTAAAATTAGATTTACGAAAATAAATAAAGGTAAAAAGCTTACTTTGTTTATGCTTAGAAAAAAACTTTGGACGTTCGGATGAATATGCGAATCAGGAGGACCTTTATCCTTAACTTCACGAATATGCAAACGGATAGTTCGTAAATCAGGAAAAAAAGGCAAGAACTGGGAGACTGACGAACTCGTTCTTATGTCTCTGAGTTGAATCTCTTACAGTTTCATCTTTGGTAAAGGCCAAAGACGAGGTTCAACTTTAGGCGAGAAGAAACGATTAGAATAGATGATCAATAACTTATTTGATATTAATATATTTACTTAGTGGTTCATCCAAACTCAGACGTTCAAGATTTGGCATTTGCTTCAAGTAGCGACATAGTAAACTTATTTTTTCAAATCTGTAATCATAATCTATATCTTCTTCTTCTTCTTCATCTTCCTCAAGATCATAGTATCCTTCGAAATGCCCAACAAAGTATTTTAATTTTTGTCCAAATTTATACAGTGTTTCCTGATTGAAAAAACCAAACTTCCAAATGAGAGAACCTTTTTTTCATAACAACGAACCAATCACCAAAAGAAGAAACCAAATTTTCAAATGAAGAAACCAAATTTATTTCACTTTTCTTCTAATTACAATTAATTATCAATTTCTTCTTTGCGTAGACAACGAGGAAGATAATCTAGCATATGATCATAATAAGCTTTACAATCATCACTTGTGATGACATCATATGCATCTCTGATTGCCTCGAAAACAGCATCGATAGTTGCTGGTCTTTGTCTTTTAATATAAAATTTCAATTGATTCAACATATTTTCAATCGGATTAAGGAATGGGCTGTATGGTGGTAGGTAGAGTAGCGAGTGTCCACTAGACTCAACTAAATTTTTCACGTCTTCAGCTCTATGGAATCTAACATTATCCATGATGAAAGTACAATTGAATTTCTGTTCAACATCTAAATGATCTATTAATTGTTTGAGATAATCGATGAATTCAGACGTATTGTAACTAATTGATTGAGCCTGATAAAAGTAGAGACCATCTATTGACATTGCCGCACACAGAATAGTTTCGACCTTTAACTGCATTTACTCTCAAATTAGCTCGACTTCCTACCTTCGATCTACCATAAGACGAACGACAATGAACGGCGATACCAGTCTCGTCAATGAATAGTAATTTTTCTCTACTATTTGTATCCAAGGCGATGAAAGAGATACAATAATCAAATCGTTTATCGATGGTAACTGGACAATTACGAGCAATAGGAACGATCGAGATTTTCTTAACGCTGTAATGTAACTCGTCAAGGTAGCGACCAATTGAGCTAATCGAGATACTGACATCAAATTTTTCCTTCATTTGTTTCTGTAAATCAATCAGAGTAAGTTGACAATCTTCATCAACCCATTCACGTAATTTAGCGACACATTCATCGTTTAGTTTCCTTGGTCGATGTCCTCTCGGTCTATTCACAACTTCATTCACGTTTGATTGTAATAGTTGTAAAATTTCTCGAGGTGTTTTTAACTGTATTCACGCTGAGTTGAAAAGTCGAAGCAATATTTGAAAACTTTTGATCTGAGGCACGAGCTTGAATTATCAATTTTTTGATTGAAAGATCAATTTTCTTTTTGGATGTCATTTCTACTGCAAATTAATTTATAACTAGAAACTTGCTTAGCAAAACCTAATTTAAGACTAAATTCAAATTCCAAATTTATCTTTTCATCAAATTAATCAAGATAAGAAGTCTTGACATAATTACTAGACAAATTGTCGCTTTGAAATTAATCAAATACAATTTAAGACTCGAAGTCTAAAAAATTGTTTCAAATTAGCAGAAAAGTGAAATAAATTTGGTTTCTTCATTCGAAAATTTGGTTTCTTCTTTTGATGATTGGTTCGTTGTTATGAAAAAAAGGTTCTCTCATTTGGAAGTTTGGTTTCTTCAATCAGGAAACACTGTATTTAAAGAAATAACTATCGAGAAAAGGTCGATGCAATGAATACAAATATTCGAGGCTTCCACAGTGTTTAACAATCTCATTGACATTAACGTGGCATCCAGAGCTCATATTCTTTGGATCACTAAAATGACATGGAGCTTTAGAACCGAGTCCAACCAACGGTTTCGATGTTGTTGACAAAACATTGAGCAACATTTTACAGGTGCATTTTTCAGTCAGCGAGCCTTTGGAGAAAAACTGGAAAAGTTCGAATTGGAAATAAATTGATGAGTAATTTTGTCTCTTATCCTTAAGTAATGATCTCACCTTGAGGTTCGGTAATAACTGAGAGACATTCACTCTCTCCATTAGTCCAACATCAGTTGTATAGATGTGACTGTAAGATGAAAAACTGATATCTGGTGAATAGAATTCACTATTGACTTGATAAGAAAAAATATAAAATTTGTGGATTTTGGATGAATTTCAACCAATTTGCCATTAATACGATTATAGCAACATATAACGAAGTGTCAACAAAAACAATCTGGCCAATCAAAGTTATAGATAAACAAAATGCAAAACATTGTAACCTTCTTCTACATAATGATCACTACTTTGCCATTTCAAATTTTAATCGTTAAGCTAGTAGGAAAGGCTGAGCTTGTCATCATTTTTTTCACCGCTGCATAAACTCGTTCAAAGATGAAGAACGATTGAACGCTATTTAGAAGATTGTTTACTTCATAAAGCT